TTTTTGTCCAGCTTTAACATCAGTATCGATATCGGTTATCGGCTACATGAGATTTAAAATATGGGCATATCGGATATCGGCCAAAATCCCAAAATCGTGCATCCCTAGTTCCGTTAGGAGGGAGTGGAACCACTTAAGCCTTAAGGGTGTTTTTCATATTTTGCCGTAGGTCTACCAAATGCTGCCACTAATGGGAGACTAGTGCAATTTCCATGTGAAGAGCTCCTCTCTGCTGCTGCTGATGAAATCTCTGATCCTCCACCCTGCTCTCTGACTCCTTTATCTGTTCTTCTACTGCAGGCGGCCATAAAAGGAGCGACTCCGGTTCCTTCATCCATCCTCATCAACATCACTGGAAGAAAACTGGTGAAATGAGCGAGTGAGGCTGCCAGTGTCTTCAGCGCTCCAACATACCACAGTCCCAGTAACATCTGCTGAGCTACTTGGTGCTCCACCACCTCCACTGACGGACTGACTGAGGAATCTCTCCTCTGAAAGCAAATGCTTTCATTTACTATTCAGGACACTTTCCAAGCTCTTGTCCATGATGCATTGATGTGTTTTAAAGTCATTCCCCATCTTTTAGCAAAACTCCTGTCCCCAAAGTGAGGCAGAGCTGCTGCTGGCAGATCAAATATATGTCCTGTGGAAGAAAAACCCACAGAAATAACAGAGAGAGTTTCCAGAAACAACATGAGGTCATAAAAACCCAAAGGAAAACCTGTGACACAGGTAAGGACAGATCCGACAGCGGTCCAATGAGACCCGACTGGAACAACAACAGAGCTTCATCTTCCTCAGATTGCTTCCAAAGTTCTGACAAATTTTTAAGCAATCATAAGCAAAAACAAAAAAAAATCTAAATAAACACACAGGGAACCAGGGATGAGAAGTCATAGTAGGTGAGATGTTTTTTAATCACTTTTCCCAAGTGAGAAGTTGGGCAGCACCATTTGAAGTTAAAGACATAATGGACATGCCTGGGGTTAGACCATAATTTAAATAGAATATGATATAAAATTGTTAAAATTATATTAAATAAAATATAATTTTATTAGAGTAAAATATAACTGTTGTGCCATAAGCCATGATATTGAAATTGCATATTGGTGGATAGCTGTCCAGACCCCCAGGCTGCAGCATCCCCTCTGCAGAACACTTCTAAAGAAACATCACAGGGACATGTGATGCTCCCTGCTGTGCTTAGTTTCAAGCCTGTGCTCAGAACAAACTGTTTAATTCCTGTTGGGAAAGAAAGAGGTATGTAAGGGGCACTACTGATGACTCAACAGAACATATCCGAACACAAAAACTTCTTTAGATAAAAGAAACACAACAAATACCCACCCTGCTCTCCAGGTGAGTCAAAAAGATTCTGTAGTTCTAAGATACAAAAAAATAAAAAGTCCCCATACAACAGGGTAACACAAAATAAGGGTCTGGGTTTTGGATATTACCAACTCAAGCTGACCGAACATGTAGAGGCCCACCTGCTGTGACCAGATTATTTATGTGTATGTATATTGAGGTGTTAATGAGTTGCTCCAAAGAGTGAAAAACCAACTTGCAATTTTTGCTAATGTTGAAAAATAGATGGATATTGGCAAAAAGCTTTTCAACTGCACATGATAGCATCCAACAGACATAAAAAAATTATACTTTTACTAACAAACAGAGGTACCAAAATTCTTCAAAAAAGAATATTGGAATCAAGCTAATAATAATACTAAAAAATAATTGAACAATACATAAATAATTAAACATCACTGACCACACATTGGAGAAATTTATCTCTGCATCTTTACCTATCCCCTTGGAGAGCAGTGGGCTGCCACCCTGCAGTGCCTGGGGAGCATTAGGGTCTTGCACAGGGACCCAGAGAGCAGGATATGGGTATCGAGCTGGGTATTTGCACCCTTCTGAGAGCACAACCGCACTGCTCTAACCACTAGGCCTACTTGATGTGCAGCCACCTTAAACAGCACAGTTCTAGTTTGACAGCTCTAGATAATTTCCTTAGAGTATTTTCTTTATTTATAAAATGAAATCCAGAATTATTGCTTTAGGTTACCTTAACTTGCACGTTGAGAATCAGATTCTACTGACTATGCAGCAAAACCTACTCACAATAATGATCATACTCTAGATCTTATGAAAACTCATAGCTTTCCTTCAAATATAAGTACATCAGTTGTTTGTGTCATCCTCATGGCTGTATAAGCATACCCTTTTACAGATAATATTCTATTAGTAATAACATAGGTTTATACTTTGAGAATGATTCTTAAGGTTAATGTATTTTCCTACCTTCACAAGTGAGTGCAGGCCTCTCTCTCCAAACATGTCCTGCAGGAAGGTATTGTCCTCTGGTCGGCTGACATGAGGCTGCAGCTGGGATGGCAGAGCAGCCAGCAGTGCATACAAACCTGCAGAGAAGGACACATATGCAAACCTTTGCTGTTTATTCATAAAATAAGAAGCTTTTTAAAGGACACATTTTCTGTAAGTGTTCAAGTATACATGTAATCCATTAAACCCCAGCAGAAGCACATGTTTAGTCATATAGAAACTGTAGGGTCTTTTAAAGGGTGATACCAAGAACACCCCAAAAAACATCATCCTCTCTCTGCGTCAGGTACCCTGGCAGAGCCTAACATTTAGACCATAAGCAAACCACTTGAGGGTCCGGATGAAACATGACAAGAACAGCAGCAGCAGAACTCACGGAAAGTTATGTTTAAATGTTTTTTTCCAGGGCCGAGGAATTGGTTCACATTAGCAATATCCAAACTAGAATTCTGACTCTGGCATGGTAAACACTAGCCTGGGTGCCATTCCGAACTTAGTCCCGCCCACAAGGTTTGAGGTCGGGAAGTTCGGTCTGGCATTGCTCAATAGTAGCGCGAGTATGATCGCCCACC